GTGTTGGTCTGGCTGTATTTCATGGACGCAAGACATACAAAAAACTTCCCATGCTGTTCTGCCATCTTGGCTCCTCCCCCTGAAAGTTTAAATTTTAATAAATTTTTATCTCTTACTCCTTTGTGTACTCAATATGGTTGATCTTTCAGTAATTTTTCTGGGGCGCCTGGGTCGCTCAGTCGGTTAAGTATCAGACTCGATTTCAGCTCAGGTCATGATCTCATGGTTCATGAGTTCAAGCCCCGTGTCAAGCTTTGTGCTGGCAGTGTGGACCCTGCTTGGGATTCTCTCTCTCCTTCTCTTGTTGTCCCCTCCCCTGCTTGTGTTCTTTCTCTCTCTCAAAAAAAAAAAATTTGCAAAAATAATCTTTTATGTCTGAAAAATTAGATTTGTGGTATATGAAAACATTTGTAGTGGTAAGTCAAACTGAACCAAATGGAAAAAAAGTAAAACTAAATTTCTGTCAACCTTTAAGAGAATTGCCAGTCCTCTAGAGGGTGCTCACATGCTTTTCCTTTACTTTCTGATTAGGTTCAAGAACAAACCAAAGAGCCCAGTAAGAACCCTTTCCTCAGTAAGAAACGGACTCTGATGCCTGAGCTATCCCTCCTTCGAACTGTGCAGCAGATCCCAGGAGTTGGAAAAGTTAAAGCCCCTCTTCTGCTTCAGAAGTTCCCAAGTATCCAGCAACTCAGTAATGCTTCCATCAGAGAACTAGAGCCAGTGGTGGGACAGGCAGTGGCACAGCACATTCATGCCTTCTTCACACAGCCCAGGTGACGGCTCTTCCCGCAGCCAGGAGCTACAGCATCTTGTTTTCTTTGCATATTTAAAAGTTGAGAACAAAGAAATCTCCTTTCACTGCAACTAATGAAAAATGAGGTGAGGCCTGAATGGAAGCTGCCAGTTGCCCTGCCCTGTTCTCTGGGTTCAGGCGTTTAAGATAGTGGAGTTAGTGGGCTCTAGGTAGCACGGCTCTCATCCTGCTAGTGAAAGAGGGCCCACTGGGGGGCACCTGGCTGGCTCACGGGTAGAGCATGCCAATCCTGATCTCAGGGTTGTGAGTTCGAGTCCCATGTTGGATGTAGAGAGTACTTAAAAATAAAGTCTTTAAAAAAAGAGAGAGAGAGAGAGAGAGCAAGAGAGCCCATGGGGATCTTCCTAAAAGAGTTTAAATTGGGACTCTCAAATTCAGCAAAAAGCCAGCCTGGGCAGATTTTAACATATAACCTTGATCTTGTCTAGCATGGAAAAGTCTAATCAAGTTTCAGAAGGTAGAAGTGACCTTCTAAAGGAAACAAACCTACAATGAAGCACTATGCTGTGTACCATAAGCCTCTTGTTCCTGGTGACAGGCCCAGTGTTCTTCCAGTCTAGTCTTAATATCACTATGTTTTGAGGGTGCTGCCAGTGTAAACAAACAGTTGTACTGCCTTTTTTTTCCTTCCTTTCCCCTCCCTCCCACCCTCCTTCCCCCTTCCTGGTAGCTACAGTTTGTTTATAGCCACGGAGCATGCCTTCTGAACACAGCCTGGAGTTTGGAAGTCCCTTTTAAAGATAAAAAGCCAGTGTGTATGAGAGGGGTAAAGAATGTGTTTGCAAATGTATAGCCCAACAGTGGGAAGATATAAAGGAAAATGGCAGGGGCAGATGCATCCAGAGAGGAGAGCTAGTGGTGGTGATCAAAAGGTACAATCAGCCACTCAAAAAATAAATGCAATTAAAGATGCACATATGTTTTCAAAGATGCTGAGATAACCTGAAAGCTCCCTAAATCCTGTTTTGTGGTGTCAGTCATTATTTAAAAAAAAAAAGACGAACAACAGGAAAGTTTTGTGCATTAGGGTAGAAACTGTTTGAAAGAGGAGTGAAATATAAGTGGGAAAAAATTTTAAAGACATTAATTCAGGCAAATGAATATGTTTATTTAAATATTTATACAAAAATGGCCCTAACAGCAGTGGATAGATACACTTTCCCAAATGTGGTTGCTTCCCTTTTGATATTGCACACTAGAAAATATTTAAGTTCTTATTAATTCTCAAAAATAGATTTCAATGCTTTTTTTTTTTTTTTTTAGCTATAGAACTTAAACTATGTCAACCGTGAATCTTACTAGAATCACGATGTCATCCAACTTGTGAGCAAGAGAGATAGACAGGTAAAAACAGGTCAAACAGAGATTTAAACTAGAATCATTTACACCTTTACCTGATAAAATGTTTCCAACCCATCTTAGACTCTTAAAATATACAATTATGTACTTCCTACTTTAAACAAACAGAAAAATGTTTGGAGTATCAAACAGTATATCGTCTACCTTGTAGATAGCATCCCCGTCTAACACTGCTACCGTGTTAGCAGCTGGTTAATGACATCAAACTAGAAGCAACAATGCTCCCAGATTGTGCGGTTTGTTTTTGTCTAGTAAGTTGTGACAAATTTGGCACTAGACTTTATCTGGAAATAGCATTCATATTATGTAGAAATAATCATAAAATCTTGTCATTTCAGATTCACAAATTCCCCTTAGGAAGCAGTTGTTTGGAATACTTCTGAGTTATATTACCTTAGTCAATCATTATAATCCCTTGACCTGCCTTAATTGGGGGGGTCATCTGAATTCTGAGTTAAGGAATGATCTATTACCTAAGCCTGCACACGATGACAAGTAGGACAGCAATAGAGGTAACCCCCTTTAATTCAGATAGTAACAACAAGCTGTAACTGTAGCCATTAAAAATAGCCGTATTTTCAGCGCTGTTCTATTTACAATACTTTATATAATAAATAACTTGCAGCAATACGGTGACATCCCCCCCGAAATTTCTAGAGGTTTCTTGTGACTTGCATTCACGAAGACCTACCGTTGTAAGTTTACCCGGTGAGAAAAGGAGATTTGCGAATATTGAGACACTTTCTATTGTGGCACAAATAGGAAGGCGTGGTCAGCACCAGAGACGTTGGCGTTAGGAGCCTGAACGTTTCTGTTTGCTCACGTTAGTACAGAGAACTATCCGAGTTGAGAAGGCTGAAGGGCGAGGGGAGCTTCTTCTTGACCTGAGGCCTCGCAACCCCAACCGACGGGAGGCACAAGGTGCTGGCTGACTTCTGTCTGTTCTTGTTGGTGCCCCAACTCAAAAAAGAAAGCTTCTTTGAGATTTTCTTGGTTTTATCAGTTTTGTCATCATCGTCTATGGCTAAGCAGATCATAGAGTAGGTTTTCTGCATGCCCACAGAGTATGTCGCACACTTATTATGCTGCGCATAGGAAAGAAGAAAAATGGTGTTAGAAATCCTCCAGATAGCTGCTAAACAATTGATGGCAAAATTCTGCTCTTACGGCATCTTCTCAACAATTAAGCTGATGTAATTCTGAAACCCAGGTGACTAACACTTACATAGGATTAGGTTCTTAAAAACAGGAACAATTCATTTTTATTTTTATTTTTTTAACATTTATTCATTTTTGAGAGATGGAGAGAGACAGAGCGTGAGTGGGGCAGGGGCAAAGAGAGAGGAGGCACAGAATCCGAAGCAGGCTCCAGGTTCTGAGCTGTCAGCACCGAGCCCAACATGGGGCTTGAATACACAAACTGTGCGATCATGACCTGAGCTGAAGTCGGACGCTCAACTGACTGAGCCACCCAGGTACCCCAAAACAAGGACAATTTTTAAGGAATAGACTCACTAGTAGTAATTTAGGCGAGGGACCAGTACTCACTTTTTAAGGTTCTTACTCTACTTGTAAAAGTAATACATGCTCATGGCCAACAATATGAAAATGTATATACCGAACAGAAGGTATCCCTTCTACCTTGGCTTCCAGGCCTCTCCCCTGAAGTAACCACTATTTCTGTTATTCTTTTAGAGATAATGTTCATATACAGGTATTGTGTGCACATACTAGTGACCATTGTCCTTCCTTAAAAGGAATACATGACCCACCGGTCTGCCTCTTGCTTTCTTCACCTAATGAACACTGGACTTCAGTCCATGCTAGTCAGTGTAAATCAACTCCGTTCTCTTGACCATCTAGAATCCATGGTGAAGATGCTAATTAACTTTTCCCCCTATCTTTTAAACTGATGAAATAAATATACATAACAGAAAACTGACCATTTTAACCACATTAAAGGGTACAGTTTGGTGGCACGGAGCACATTCACACGGTCGTTCAGCCATCCCCACCAACCGTCTCCAGAACCCTTTCATCTTCCCCAGTTGAAACTCTGTACCCAGAAGCACTACTATTAACTTTTAAAAGATTGCGCAGGGCTCACTTAAGACATCTGAAGATCCTTGTTTTCTGTAACCTTCCATGCGGGTTATCACCTGCTTCGAAGGTCTGCCTGACATTGAGGTTGCTAAGTTCAAGTGTTTACTGAACATCTACTATGTTCCAGGCCCTGGGATCAGGCCTTTAAATCTACATACAACATATCTAAAGTGGTGGGGTATGCTGTTCATAATAGAAATCGGGATTTGAGAGATGGGACGATAAAGAAGGGTATTCACTCTGGAGTCTGGCTTCTTTGGATGAAGATGCCTCTTATCTATAAAACTGCCATTTAATCCCTCCATACTCTACAAGACATACACACTACACACTGTTTTTAATGAAAACCAATAACAAACCGTCCTGGATGTAGATGTGATGCCTGCAAACATTTTTCAACTTTAACCTGCTTAGAGTCCATTTTCCATCTTTACAACCACTGCCTTACAGATTCCCTCTATCCTCTGCCATAGTTCAACCAACAAATGCCAAGTCTAGTGAAACTCTACCCTCTGCCTCCCCCCAGGCCTGCACTCAAATGGCTGCACGTTACTGGGGAACAGCCACCAAGCCAGCTGGCTTCCCTTGGCGTTCTAACCCTGTCCCCAAACCCCTACTGGGCACCTCAATCCCTGGCACTCCTACATTATCCTAGCAACTTCATTCCTTCTGGAGGTCTCCTGACGCCCCACACACGTCCTCCTGATACTGCGTTACCTTAATAGCATCTGCCCCTGAAGACCAGTCCTGTGCGCCTGGATCTCCCCCGCCCTCTGGGTGTGCCTGCCTTCCTGCACTCCTGCCTCCTGGCACACAGGCTTGCTGTGTTATCTATATACACCTACACCACCACCGCCTTTGAAAAGCTTCCCTTTTTCCTATGTCCCCCTCCCAGATTGCACCCCAATGTCTGCCCCCTTTCTGCCATTCCCTTTTTGTCTTGGCCTCCAGCAGCATGCTCCCCACTGCCCATCCCAAATATTCCTGGGGCACCCCCCTGACTCACAGCATTAACGGAGCCCAGTCTGAAACCACTGCACCCGTCCCACTTTATACCAATGAGGAAACAGTCCCAAGGAGGGTAGTAACCTGCCGAAGGCCACACAGCTGGTTAGTAGCAGACAGAGCCTGATTCCAGGGCTGGGGTCTCTGCTACATCAGTAGTATTCCAAATAACGCTCCACGGAGGAGTGCTGGGGGTCCCCACAATTCAGAGAGTGGGGGAGCAGGTCACCAGTCCAACCAGGGCATGGACTTTATTGTTCTCATTATCTGGTTGTGTTTGAAACAAAAGCAATTAAAAACAGCGCTCAGTTGCTATTGTCTAAGGCCTTGCGGGTGAAAAGAATAACTCTATCACGGTTATTAAACACCTATTGTGAATGGAAATGCATCCCATGCTGGCACTGCCCCCCACCCCCACCCCATTTTCCTGCAGCTCAGAACCATTCCCTGAGGCCTAAGGTCAGTCATTCCACTGGCAGGAAAGCCAGAAGTCCATTCCAGCACGTCTGAGTCTCGAATCCTTGCTTTTCTACTCCGACCTCAGCACTTTCATGGGCCTGGTTCAAAGTTATAGGATGGAAAGATAAGCCCTTCTCCTTGTACAGCTACGTCTTGTGCTGTGCAACTCCCCACCACCATCACGACATCTCTGGCCCTGAGCCCAGCTCTTTTATTTATCCTTCTTTTGGACAAACTTCTTTTGTTTCTGGTTGGGACCCTGATCCCTTGTCCTGCAATTCTATGGATCTGCCCCTAAAAACTCCATTTCTCATGATCCCTTCTCCAAGATGCTCACTGAGTCCCTCGACCTCATCTTCTTTCATTTTTATTTTATTTTTTTTAATTTTTTTTTTAACGTTTATTTATTTTTGAGAGAGAGAGAGAGAGAGACAGAGCATGAACGGGGGAGGGTCAGAGAGAGAGGGAGACACAGAATCTGAAACAGGCTGCAGGCTCTGAGCAGTCAGCACAGAGCCCGACATGGGGCTCGAACTCATGGACCGTGAGATCGTGACCTGAGCTGAAGTCGGACGCTTAACCGACAGCCACCCAGGCGCCCCATCATTTTTAAATGGAGACATAATTCACGTACCATAAAATTCACCACTTTAACACCATTCTGTGGTTTTGAGCATATTCAGGGTTGTGGAACCACCGTGGGATTTCAGAACATGTCCTCGCCCTCCAGAAAGCAACCCTGTACCCATCAGTAGTTATTCCCCATTCCCTGACACCCAACCCCTGGCAACCGCTAGTCTACATTGTGTTTCTGTGGATTAGCCTGTTCTGGACGTTTCTTATCAAAGGAATCACAGGATCCATTCACTCTCCAGCCCTCTCTAATCAGAGTTCTGTTGCCATCTCTCCATGAAAAGTGTCCTTTTGTCCTGCTGCCAAATAATAATAGACACAGCTCCGCCTCCCTCCCTCTCCACCTCTTAACTGTATCCTACACAACCAACCGTTCTCTCCTTGATTCCAGAAACTTCTTTATCCTATCTCTCCGAATGCTCCCTCACAACTTCCTTTGCTCCCACTTCTCTTCTAACTGACCTCCAGATGCCTGCGGTGTCTCGTGGATTAGTCCTTGACCCTCAGACCCTCGTGGGCAATTCCATTTAGTCTCTGAACGGCTTTAAATATCATCTCTATGTTGGTGATTCTCAGATATTTCTAGGTCTGACTTTTCTCCCTTGCACTGAAGATTTGAACATCCAGCCGCCTACTTCACATCTACATTTGACATGTGAAACATTCAAGGTACATCTCTGTTTTCTCTCTTCTCTACCTCCCTCGCCCCTGGCCCCCGTTCCCCGTCACTACGAAAAAATGGCGCCTTTGTTCAAGCCCCAAACTGAGCGGTCATTTTCCTTTCCACGACGCTTTCTACACAGATCATCTACAAACCCCTGTCAGCTCTACCTGCAAAGATACATCTCAGGGGCACGCACCTCCCTCCACCTCTGTCGTCACCCACCCTAGTGTAAGGTGCTCACGTCGCTGGCCCGCACACGTGCTACAGCCAGCTTCCGCTGCAGCCACCCTCCAGGCAACCAGATGTCCTTCTCAAATACACATCACTCCCTTTCTTGAGAGGCTCACTGGCTTCCAAACTCCCACCACTGCCAGTGGGGCCCTGCCTCCCTCCCATCTCATTTCCTGCCACTCCCTCCCTTGTTACCACGTTCCAGCTGAGAGGCCTTCTTTCTGTTCCTCTAGCAGAAGCCTCTTCCTGCTACAGGGACTCTGCACCTGTCGATCCCCCTGCCCAGAATGCTCCTCTCGCGCCTCCTCAAATGGCTGGCTCATCCCTGTCACTCACGTCTCTGTGCAAGCCCTGCCTAGAGGAGCCTCTCCCCGCCTCCAATCGTTCTGTCGCGATACACAGTTCATTTTCTGTACCACACTTGTCAAAAACCACAACCACTTATTTGCTTATTTAGGGCCAGCATACTGGGGGCAGGGACCTCATCAGCCTGGTTTAGCTGGAGCTCCAACACCTAGGAAGGGCCTACACACAGGATGCCCTGCCAACACCTGAAGAACGAACCCTGTCATAGAGGGAAGAGCCAAAGGCCCATAATTAAATGTGACCAAGTGTGGAAGAGAATGTACACGGTTCCTCCTGCTGAGGGAGCACGAAGGCTGCACAGGCATCAAACACTTCCCAAGATCTCACGGGGAACAGCCAGCACTGCCTCTGAGGGGAGGGACTTCCACACATCGTCTCATGCCCTTCTGTAGCATTTGAGTATTTTTTTTTTTTTACCATAAGTACATATGACTTTTGTAACAAATAACTTAATCAGAAAAATAAGTGGTTCTTTTATGTACAGCATTTTTTAGTTTTCCAGTGATCTCTGGCCCAGGGTGTCTGGGGCAGGTGGTGGAGGGTCTGCTGGCACAGTGGGGCTGGACTCACACCAACCCCACTCTGCGCCGCTGTTTCCTGTCGGGGTGTGAGCACTCACCATGGACGAGGTAGAGTCCAGGAGGCTCACGACCTTCATCTCCACGTCGTCCTTGCCCTTGCCCTTCAACAGTTTCATGACCTCGCTCACCGTCAGCCACTTGCAATCCACGTCTCGAATGGACACGATATAATCCCCTTCCTTGGCTCCTGCCAGCTACACACAGCAGGATTTAAATGAAGGTCAGTGTTCTGTTCATTCCAACCCCTGGATCGGTTCCCAAGTGCATTAACAAAACAGGTATTTGCATAAGTCTGCTTCAAGACCGCATGCATGAATCCGTTGCTCTCTGGGCGAGTAAGACCCATGAGAGGCCTTTCACACGGTCCGTCTTTTTACAGAGAGGAACCCTAAATTCATTCATACACCCAGATATATTTGTTTCGGCAGCTTTCTTTCTGTTTGACCTGTTTGACTGCTTGCAAAGATACCAGTAAGTTTTGCTCCCCATCTACGGTGGCACACACTTACCGCAGCAGAGCAGTAAGGGTCCAGGAAGTGGACTTGAACTGGGGAGTTTCCTCTCAAGGTGAACCCCAAATCCCCTTCTTCTGCAGTGAAGTGAATGCTGCGAGGAGGTGTCCATTTCTTGTTCGCCGAAAACACCGACAGGGGGCCCTGCGGAACAGCATTCGTTAGGTGCAGGATCCGAAGGCTGAATCAAGCACTTGAAAGCTGAGGGGCTCCTGGCTGGCTCAGTTGGTTAAGCGTCCGACTCTCGATTTCCGCTCAGGCCATGATCTCACGGTTTGTGAGTTCGAGCCCCATGTCAGGCTCTGGGCTGAGCGCACGGAGCCTACTTGGGATTTTCTCTCTCCCTCTCTCTGTCCCTCCCCGTTTGCTCACACTCTCTCTCTTTCATTTAAAAAAATGGAAGCTACAGGAAATGTCACCTTGTTGTCCTTGCAGATGTCACCTGGCCTTGCTCAGAGACTAATGACAGCATCTGGGATAATACATGCTACAGCAGTCACATAGGAACATCCTACTGCCATTTTCTCTAAAAGATCCAATATATTTTAAAGAAAATGTTCTTTAAAATTTTTTTTTAGCATTTATTTATTTTTGAGACAGAAAGAGACACAGCATGAATGGGGGAGGGTCAGAGAGAGAAGGAGACACAGAATCTGAAACACGTTCCAGGCTGTGAGCTGTCAGCACAGAGCCTGACGCAGGGCTTGAACTCACGGACCACGAGATCATGACCTGAGCCAAAGTCGGATGCTTAACCAACTGAGCCACCCAGGCACCCCTAAAGAAAATGTTCTTTAAAAAGTCATCTTATGGGCACATGGGCAGCTGGTTAACTGTTTGACTTAGGCTCAGGTCATGATCTTGAGGCTTATGAGTTTGAGCCCTGCATCAGGCTCTGTGCCTGCTTCGGATTCTGTGTCTCCCTCTCTCTCTGTCCCTCCCCTGCTGGCACTCTGTCTCTGTCTCTGTCTCTCTCTCTCAAAAATAAACATTTAAAAAAAAATTTTTTTTTAAAGTCATCTTAACAAAAACTATATAAAGTCTCCAATTAAAAAAAGTATAGTTACCTAAAAATAGCCTTTTATATACTTGCAGCCTATATGAGCTGTTCCCTTGAGTCATCACGGAATAAGCATTCAACATACCAGCTTTTGGAAGAAGTCTGTTGCTGTCACCTTGGAGAACTGTGGCAATATAATTTCAACCTCTTGCTCAGTCTTAGCTGGAAAAGAACATTAGAAGTGAAAGCGTAAATGTTTCTATAATTGAAAGTTATCCTTGAAAACTCAGGTCTAAGTCTTCTCTCTGAAGGGAAGAGGGAGCAAACCTTTCTCCTAGTCACCTGGCCTTCCTCTTGGTCTAGACAAGTGGTACAGAAGAGGGACTGACTGTCTGTCAACCCCCTGGCCCAGTGTCAGCTGCACCTTCCATCCGGGCACCTACTGTGAGCCATACCTCACTCTGGGGCTGGGACAGACCAGTGACAATCAAGACACATCCCCTACCTTCGAGGAGTGTGTTTATATTCTAGCGGACTTCCTTTGGCACTCGGGAAACCCGACCGAGAAGTAGTCTACATTTCAGGGGTGGCTGTTATGGAAGGAAGGACCCAGCACAGAGTCCCGGGTGAGATGAGCTTCCTCCTTTCATCATTAATGTGGGATATGAGGATTTCAGGGGGACGTCGGTTTGCCCGGTTGCGTCCACTGATAGCTTAAATCTCCACCGTCATATTCATGGGACGCTCACGCCAACTCTTACCATGAGGCTAGGCAGTTCCTGACAAAGGATCCCAGAGCAGGCCAAGAATACATGAAGAGCAGTATACAAAGAAAACCTGGGGAAGAAGCCTGGCCCTGCCGAGACAGAACACACCCCTCTATTCACAAGATGGCCCTGTGGCTTCTTACAAAGTGCCTGACTCAGTGTCGGGCTCGGACGGGGTGCTCATCTACTCCCAGAGTGGCACCACCAGCCTTGGGCGGCCTCCCGAGGAGCCGCGCTCCCCCACTCCCTCCGTGGAGGTGATGTCTCTACTTCCTGGCCACGCAGTACACTGTGTGGACACGGGGGCCAAGGAGGGAGCCAGTGTCCATGAAGGAGAATCACAGGGCAGCATGCCTGCTTCCACCTGCCAGCCTGGTCACCCGGGGCAAAGACTTTGATTTCCCTAAGCCTTTACTGCCTCATCTTTAAGATGAGGGCAATACCAGTGCCTCTCTAAAGAGTTGGAGGAAGAGTTGAATGAGATTCCGTATATATAGGGTGCTCACTGTTGTGCCTGGCAGACCTCAAGTGCTCAGCAGGTACCAGCCAGCGTTACCACAGACAAGCCCGGGCTCCAGCTTGCGCAGGGCTCCGTCTCTCAGGAAGTGGTCCCCGGAAATTGGGGTGGAACTTTAACAGACTAGGGACACAGGTATAGGAAGTGGGGTGGAAGGAAGTATGGACAAAGGAGGTTCTCTCGATTGGGCCACCTCCCCCCAACTCCTCGAAAGACCCTGTCATCCCTTCACCGTCAAGTCACCTCTCAGAGGGGCCTCCCAACCCCCGCCTCCTGGGGCAGAACTGACAATAACCCCCTCTCCTCCCCCGCCCAAGGGCAGCAACGACTGTCCAAAACACCTCCATCCTCCTGAGCCTAGGATGGTAATGAATCCCTTGGAAATGCTCAGAAAGTGTTGGCGGTGTGTGATCTCACTTGAACTCAACAGAAGCAGAGAGAGAACAGTGGGTGACAGTGGGGGTGAGGTGGGGAGTGAGGTAATGTTGGTCCGAGTGAACAAACGTCCCGTCCCGCGAGATGAGGAGGTTTTAGAGATCTAACACACAGCGGGGGGACTAGAGCTAGCACTATACTGTATACTTGAAATTTGCTGGGAGGACAGATCTTCAGTGTTCTTACCACACACACCCACGCACACGATAAACTAGGTTTTGAAGCATTTTCACTGTCAAGGTAAAAATTTTCCCCATGTCCCCTGATTCCACTATATTTACTTCTCATTTCATAATAAGAGTGATTTGTTGTCCTACAAAAAGAATGACAGAAAATGTTGGCGTGGCTAAAGGATGTAGAGACCAGGAAAGAGCAAGCATAGGAAAGGGAATACGGGGGGCGCCTGGGTGGCGCAGTCGGTTAAGCGTCCGACTTCAGCCAGGTCACGATCTCGCGGTCCGTGAGTTCGAGCCCCGCGTCGGGCTCTGGGCTGATGGCTCAGAGCCTGGAGCCTGTTTCTGATTCTGTGTCTCCCTCTCTCTCTGACCCTCCCCCGTTCATGCTCTGTCTCTCTCTGTCCCAAAAATAAATAAACGTTGAAAAAAAAAAAAAAATTAAAAAAAAAAAGGAAAGGGAATACGGAAGCCTTTGGCTTTAAAACCATGGAGCCGGAGGTAGAAGACACAGCAAAGGGCACTCCCAGAAGGCAGAGGGCCTGTGGGGCGTGGGGTGTAGCAAAAACACCAAGACGAAGGTAGTTTCCGAGGTCTCCTGACCACAGGGGACGGCTGGAAACCCGGGGAGTTTGTGCGACTTTAAGGAAAGGCATCTGGATGAGGCAAAGCAGCGAGAGCAGACTCTCAAGAATGCCTGAGGGGTGGGTGGGATTGGGCAAGAACAGTCAGCCAAGGGGGTCGTGAAGGAGATGAAGACAAGCCAGGCAGCAGGGTGCCCGGACACCAAGGGGGCACGTTGAGGGGCAGAAAGGAGTCACATGCTACAACGACCATAAAGAAGGCTCCGCGCTGTGTGAGCAGCAGATAACTCCAGGGTGAGAGCAGTACCCAGTACACAGCAGGGTCTGCCCCAGCCTTCCAGGATGAACAGACACAGGCCATGCCCCCAGAGAAATGGGCTCCCGGGCCACTCACAGATAATGTCAGGGGCATCCATCAAGTTCAGCAGCTCATCGTCCTCTTGGTGCTGAGCGTACTTGAGCCGGGAGCGCTGGTGCGCTGCGGACAGCACCTCCTGGAGCACGTCAATGTGGCGTAGTTTCTTGCACAAGCTGGCCTCCCTCACAGACTCCTCGTGGTGGGCAATGGCTCTGCGCAGGTGGGACTTGCCTGCCAACAGAAAAGCACCCCCCGTGACATCAGCGTCCCAAAGTGCAGTGTGAATGTGTCAGGGAGAGCCAAAGTGCCCCAGGACCAGCCCAGAAAGGCGGACCTTCTCTTTTCTGAAGGATCTGCCTGGACGGCTCACTCAGGTCTATAAAACATCCATTGAGCAAATAGTTACCACGTGTTCTAGGCGGTAGAGATAAAGCAGCAGACAAAAACTAGCCTCTGTCGTCATGGAGTTTATGCGCTAGTGGTTGAAGAGAGATCACTAAGGAGCAAAGAAACAGGCAGAGGACCGTGTGGCAATGAGGTTATGGAGAAAAATGAAGCAGGGCAGGTAGCAGATACAGCAAAAGAAGACCGGGAACAAAGAGTTGCTCTTCTCTGATGGGTGATCTGGGAAGGCCTTTCTGAAGGTACCTTTTTTAGTTTTACTTTTGAATGTTTATTTATTTTTGAGAGACAGAAACAGAGTGTGAGTGGGGGAGGGGCAGAGAGAGAGGGAGACACAGAATCTGAAGCAGGCTCCAGGCTCTGAGCTGTCAGCACAGAGCCCGACGTGGGGCTCGAACCCACGAACCGTGAGATCATGACCTGAGCTGAAATCAGTCGCTTAACTGACTGAGCCACCCAGGCGCCCCGAAGGTGACTTCTGAGTAGAGCCCCGAAGGAGGCAAGGGAGCAGCCAGAGGAGATCACAGGAAAGCACTCCTGAAAGCAGGAACAGCAAGTGCAAAGGCCCTGGGGCAAGACTAAGCCTATTACGTGTTCAAGGGTAACAAGGAGCTTGAGGGTATGGCTGGAGGCAGAGGGCCAGAGCAAAAGGGAGGAACTATGAGGCCAGAGACAGCAGGGGTCAGACCACGTCCAGCCTTACCAGTGCAGGGTGAAGGCTTCTGCCCCTACTCTGGGTGAGATGGGAGCCCATTAGGGTATGAACAGAGGCCTCATGTGAACTGACTATGAAGGAGCAAAGGGAAAGCAGGGGGACCAGTTATGAGCCCTTTGGGTCTCTATTTCCTCAACTGTGAAGTGGACCATACCTACGTCACAGGGTTGTGTGAGGCTGAAGGGAGTCGATGTCTGTTAAGTAAGCACATCACACGTGTGGCTTGGACCAGGGTGGTAGCTAAGAAGTGGTCAGATCTGGGACGTGTTTTCTAGGGAGAGTCAACAGGATCTGCCAATCAAATGTGGGATGAGAAAGAAAACTGGAGGCAGAAGGTGAGCCCCAGGTTTCTGGCCTGTGCACTTAGAAGGCTGGAGTTGCCATCGAGGAGATGAGACGAGGGCAGGTCTGGGTAGGAGAGGAATTCAGCTTCACACGTGAAAAGAGATCTTCACTCTGAGACTTGGCAGGGACCAAACTAGGACGATTCATCACCAGTTCTTAGGTGTGACAGAAGAAAGTTAACAGACACGTCCTTCTACATTTGGATGACCCAGGGCCAGCCCTGGACCTCTAGGGCTCTGGAAGATGGTCAAAGCTCTGGCCCGGGCCCTCACAGAACCTGCGAGAACACGGTTCCAGAAGCCTGTTGAGTCTTCAGAATGTGCCTCATGATAACTGATCCACAGCGGCCATGACGACTCAGGATGCCCTGCTCTCTGAGCCCTCCCCCGGGGACCTGTCTGGGGCCCTGTGAGCAGGACAGGCGACACGTACCCAGCAGTCGGCGCTGGTGACCGTTCTTCAGTGTGGCCAAGGGCGTCAGTCCCTCTGGCATGTGGTCATAGAGCTGGGACAGGCACTTCTCCTGATGGTCCTCATCTGCGCCAGGCTTCACTGCAATGGAAGCCACAGGGTAAATCCCTTCTTGACACAGACGCGGCCACAGACTCTGGAGACGGTGCCAAAGACCCCTTAGGGAGATCTCTCTCAACCACGTCTCCAGTCTTCCTTCTCCAGTTTTACAAGGCCCTTGGGACGATAGGTCTTTCTGCCCCTGGACACACCCTTGGCTACTTTGCGTACCCGGGGCCAGGCACACTCTGGGGGCTCATGGTTTGGCTCTGGGCCCCCAACTCCTCCAACTCCCCTACCTCACAGAACCTTCTAGCGTAGCCCTGCCTCAGACCTCTGGTGGCCTCCACGCCTGCACCCTCCCTGGCACGTGTCCCCTCTCTAGCCTCACCACCTCAACACTTCCGGCCTCCCTTCCACAGCTCAGCTAGTGTTCTTGCTCTGGCTGTCCTTTTCCTCCTGGCTCAGCCGCAAAAGTCTTCCTCAGAGTTCAAAGGGCAACTCAAACGTCACCACCTCTGAGAAGACTTCCGTGACCTCACCAAGGAGTCCAACTGCTGCCTCATTTGTGTTTCTACCACAATTACCAAAGTGTTGTTCTTTCTATTGGTTTACGTGACTTATCCCGTCTAATAGACTCTATATTAACACTGGCAGTAGCAGCTACCAATTCCCGAGCGTCCACTAGATATGAGGGACTATTTAGCTTTGCACACAGGCACCTGGTTTTCACAAGTGCCCTATGAGATAGGTTTTTTCATATCCCCATTTTATAGGTGAGAAAACTGAGGCACAGAAAATTAAGGAAATTAACTAAGACCACACAGCTAGTAAATGGTAGGTTGTGATAGGAACCCAGGCAGTGTGGCTCCAGAGGTGGTCCTTTTCATTACTTTGGAGGGCTACTTTGATTGGAAGTAATGACAACAGAAGTCCCATCTGACCTCAGATCAGAGCCAAGACTAGGGTGAGGAGAGCAAGACACCTTGCTTGGGCTAAAAATGTAAGAGGGCATCCAAAACTCATCAATCAGAACACATGATAGTTTAATGCAATTTTTTAAATATCAAAATTAATGCTAAAAAATGCATGATGAAGAAACATCAAAATTCCTCTTTGCCCCAGTTTCCAGTGTAGCTCAGCACAGCATTGTTATTGATCTGTAGTCTCTATTTAAAATATGGATCACCATTGGGGCACCTAGGTGGCTCAGTCAGTTAAGTGTCTGACTTCAGCTCAGGTCATGATCTTACGGTCTGTGAGTTCGAGCCCCACTTCAGGCTCAGTGCTGACGGCTCAGAGCCTGGAGCCCTGCTTCAGATTCTGTGTCTCCCTCTCTCTCTCTCTGTCCCTCCCCCACTCAAACTCTGTGTCTCTCTCTCAAAAATAAACATTAAAAAAAAATAAAGAAAATTTGGATCACCACGGGTTATATGTTTTTTGCATTAGTTTTGATTCATTTAAATGTTTATTTATGTTGCGGGAGAGAGAGAGAGAATCCCCCTTGTGAGCAGGGGAGGGGCAGAGAGAGAGGGAGAGGATCCCAAGCAGGCTCCCTGCTGTCAGCGCAGAGCCCGACATGGGGCTCGATCTCACAAACCGTGAGATCACGATCTGAGCCAAAATCAAGAGTCCGACACTTAACCAACTGAGCCACTCAGGTGCTCTGGTTTTGATTCATTCAAAATATCACATCCAGGGCGGCAGCTGCAGCAGCGAAATCGCGGAGACCATGGTGGACACTGGGCAGCTGATCACCAAGCCCCAGAACCTGAATGATGCCTACAGGCCGCCCAGCAACTTCTCGAGATCGATGTGAGCAACCCGCAGACAGTGGGGGTCGGCCAGGGCCGCTTCACCACCTACGAAACCAGGGTCAAGACAAATCTGCCTATTTTCAAGCTGAAGGAATCTACTATTAGAAGATACAGTGACTTTGAGTGGCTGCAAAGTGAATTAGAAAGAGAGAGCAAGGTTGTAGTTCCCCTGCTGCCTGGAAAAGCATTTTTGCGTCAGCTTCCTTTCAGAGGAGATGATGGAATATTTGATGATAATTTTATTGAAGAAAGGAAGCGGGGGCTGGGGCAGTTTATAAACAAGCTCGCTGGTCATCCTCTGGCACAGAATGAACGTTGTCTTCACATGTTTTTACAGGACGAAATTATAGATAAAGGCTATACTCCATCTAAAACAAGACATGCCCGAAATTTGGTGAGAAGGGGCAACAAAACACAAACAAAACAACTTTCCGTGACTATTAATGATTCGTGTGCACCAGCGAAGAAGTTCTATCTAACTTTTAGCACACTGCACGGAAACGGGCATAACATGCCTTCAGTATACTAACATGCATATGCTCAGTTTTGTTTTGTTTGGTTTTGGCAGTTGACAAGAAGTTAATTTGCTTTAGTGAAAACCCCTTGTTCCAGCCTTTCTGGCTCTTTCTTGCTGTTTTCATGTGGTACACACTATAACCCCACAAACCTGTTACCCCAGCATAATCTGCAGAATCCTAACTAAAGTTGCTGACTTCGTCTTATCTGCGCAGTTTTTGTGTCCTGTTTGCTTCTTGAATCTGCTTAACTAGAATATTTCTCTTACCCCTTTTTAATATGTGGTGTCACTTGTCCTAATTTATGGTTAGAAGCACTACCCCATTGGTTTCCAGTCCCCTATGTGTGAGATCCACACTTGTGTGCGGAAAGTATCTCCCTTCAGGCTTGTAATACCCTTCACATGGAAGATCAGTGAGGGAAATCTTTATATTCTGTACAAAAACAAAATCCAATTTATAGACTAAAATCATTTGTCTAAAAATTTAAGTTGTTTTCAAGTAAAAATAAAAATGCATTTCTGATATGCACTGAAAAATAAAATAAAATAAAATAAAATATCACATCCAAAGGTCATCTTGAATACTGAGCTTGGGGGCATCCCCTTGGATGCGGTGCCCAGGGGAGTGTTTCACTGATGTTAACCCTGGGCTTCCCTCCGGGGGAAAAGTCCTCTCCTAGGAGCTGTCTGCTCCATCTCAGGCAGAACCGCACGACCCCTCTTCCTCCACAACGGGAACGTACAGCCTCTAATCCCACACGGGCCCCCAGGCTGTGAGCGGCTCCAGAGAGGCAGGCAGCTCTCGCTCAGCTCACAATGTCCCAGAAGCACAACCCAGACCAAAGCCCAGAGCCCCCAAGCCTTACACTGGTGATCAATGAGAAGTGTGGCTACAAAGTAGTGGGCCAGGGCTCCGTAGTGGTGGGCCTTCACACAGGCCAGGCTGGCCCAGGAGTAGGGGATGTTCTCCTTCACCGGTGCCTGGCTCATGGCCGCATGCAGCTGCCGATAGACTTCCCCGACCTGAAACAGAAGGAACGCTGGGAACGGGGAGCCTGGCACAGGGGTGCTCACACACCCAGGGTGCAGAAAAAGAGCCCTTTCTTCTATGGAGCGGCCCTGCTGGAGGCCGCTCCAGAATCTGGGAGCAGCTCCAAGGGTGCCTCGTTCTTTCGGTGTCATAGTTAACAGGGAGATCAGGCAACTGTCATTATGCTGGTTTTTAGGCTAAGCTGCAGATGGAATCAGTGATCCGTATCTAAAACGCCACACTTGCCAAGAAAATGCAAGCTAGCGCTCTGGCCAGGGCGGGCACGCTGCCCAGGTCACGGGCAAGCTGCCGCGGGCTTGTTCCCCCGCTGCTTCCAGGGGGCCCACACCAGCACATCCTGCCCACCCCCAGAAGTGGGGTCAGGCACGGGAACCAGGACGCCTTACCTTGGCAGCCTCCTGAGCCACCTTCACCAGCATGAAGAACTCGTTCCGGATCCCAGGAAGGCAGATTTTCTCAAACACATTTTCCTGGGCTTGTGCAAGCATCATTTTGACCAGCACACTGAGCATGGCAGGACTCATGTCATAACTCGGAGTATGAGTGAACGTCTCTTTCAGATGATTTAAAACCCCTGTGAATTGGAAATTTTTTTTCACATTAGTTGGGGATACTACTCTCCCTGGTATTTGGGAGCATCTTAAAAAATCTGATTCTCAGGGCGCCTGGGTGGCTCAGTCAGTTAAGTGTCCGACTTCGGCTCAGGTCATGATCTCATGGCTTGTGAGTTCGAGCCCCGCGTTGGGCTCTGGGCTGACAGCTCAGAGCCTGGAGCCTGTGTCGGATTCTGTGTCTCCCTCTCTCTGCCCCTCCCCTGTTCACACTCTGTCTCTGTCTCTCTCAAAAATGAAAATAAAACATTAAAAAAAAAACCATCTGAGTCTCAATCATGGTAAGATCCAGCAATTCTACTCCTAGGTACATACCCTGAAGAAGTGAGAGCAGGAATGGAAACCGATACTTAGACACCCACATTCATGGAAGCATTAGTCATAACAGCCAAAAGGTAGAAACTAACCCAAATGTCCATCGACATACGGTCAAACAAAATGTGGTGTATACCTACGATGGAATAGTTTTCAGCCTTAAAAAGGAAGGAAATTCCGACACATGCTAAAACATGGACGAAGACGTTACGCTACGTGAAATAAACCCGTCACAAGGACAAACACTGTATGATTCCGTGAGATGAGGTATCTGGAAGAGTCAAATTCAGAGACAGAGAGTAGCATGCTGGTCGCCAGGGGCTGGGGGCAGAAGGGAATAGACAGTTAGTATTTAATGGGGACAGAGTTTCAGTTTGGGCAGATGACAAAGTCCTGGCGACAGACCGCTGCACAACAGTGTGAATGTACTTAATGCCAATGAACTGAACACTTAAAATTGGCTGCCAACGGTCATTTTTCTCTTGTATGTTTGACCACGATTTAAAAAATCGGATCCTTTTCCAAAACATTTACCTCTGCATCAAGCAAGGAAACCAGCCTTCTCCCTGTTTGTTCCTGTCTCACCTGGGACAATTGTGAGAAATTCCATACATGACCAGGCATTTAATGGAGGTGAAAGCAGAAAGCAGGCAGGATGACGGGAGGGCTCTCGGACGGACACGCTCACACGGAACACGTGGGTCATTACAAAACTCAGGGCTTTTCCCCAGGACCTCAGGAAAGATCGACTCCCCCACTCCAATGGGAATGTTCCCGCTGTAGCCCTTAGCTGACTTTTTTATAGGTTGGAAAATTAACTGTCACAGCCTTCACTGACAATCAACCCCGGGCTGAAATAAAATCCCTGACATGAATCCCATCTGACTGGTTCCTCTGGTTTTGTTGCAAAGCATAAGCAGCCCTGTGGACGATGGTGATGGCTGCAGGCTATTTGCTCCTTTCTGGGTCTGCTCCCACTCTGTTCTTGTGCTTAATGTCGTCTATACTGCTGTAATCTTAGAGATGGGTCACCAAGCACACCTGCTTTAGGTTCCTCAGAAAGAAAATGAGCCCAGAAAAGGACTGACAGTGAAAGAAATCCGCTCCCACACGGAATCTTAGCGCGTCGTTTTATCCCAAGGGATCTGTCATTTTAACAGAAGCAGTTTCACGATCAGCCAAAATGGCAAAGGCTTGCAGAGTGAGATACCCGGAAAGTTCTCCGCTGGGAGTAATGCCCCAAAGCAGTGATAAGCGCCAGCTTGGAATGAACCCTGACATGAAGCCAGTGGAGGGGGTCGTGCTGTGGTCTGTGCCGTGTCGCCGTCCCACCCACCATTTCTCAGGGCAAGTCTGCCAGACACAGGCCGTGCTGGAGAAGAGCAATGCGGGGCCCTCAGACACCCAGGAGCCAGGCCCACCCGCTGCGCCCAGCCTGGTGACCCCCACCCCGCTACAGGCTGGCGTTAAGTGTCGCTTGACAGAGGGCTGAGAGGAGCAATCTCAGGGAGGCAAGCTTTGCAGAATGGGCACACGATAAAGGCACGGACAGTAAAATGCCGTGATGAACCACGCCTGATAAAAGAAAACCGAAAAGAGCCTACACTTGCACTATTTTGAGAGAACGTATTCCCTTCTTCAATAAATACAGTGTTCAAAAGAACAACTCATTCACTGCCATCCTCGGGGCCAGCTGTTTGGAAAAGATTAATTGTTAACCACGGGACTCGTTCGCTGTGTGCATGAGCCAAACCCAGACTGAGGCGGCAGGGTTTGAGCCATTAAGCAGTTCCCTCGCTGGGAAGATAACACCAGCGCGAGAAACCCGCCTGGCCCTTGCAGGCCTGTGAGGCTCTGCGTGGGCCCGGGTTAGACCCACTGACCCTCTTCCGCTGCAGTGGCCAGTGCCAGCTGGTGGGGCCAGGACTGTATCCCAGTAGCCCTTGCGGAGACACACCTGCTGCTCTCTGAAAGGCGTCCACCGCACTCTCCAGCCCAGCCTGCGTCTGTCGATCGCACCGGGTCCCGATCTGTGTGTGGAGGGCTCCGATGTTAAACAGAATGCTGGCTTTCTCCAGTAGCAGGTTCTGCTGGCTAACTGGCACTCCGGTGAGGGAGTCATACCTGTTTAAAAGAAACGGTTTTGAGAATACGGATCATTTGGCTAGTGAATGCTGTTCTGGATGAAAACGGACAAAGTGTATTTCTTGAATGAAACTCAAAAACACACATGCAATGAAGCACTCGTTTCCAAGCAAGACAACGGGTCTGATCTCACACAAGATCAGGTGCCCACAATCTCACACAAGAAAAAGGCTTCTCCACCAAGATGTCCTCGCATAAGTGAATGGATAAATAAACTGTGGCACAACAATACAGTGGGATATCACTGAGCAATAAAAAGAAATGAGTTATCGAGCCGTGAGAAGGCATGCAGGAAACTTGAATGCGTATTTCTAAGTGAAAGGAAGCCAATCTGAAAAAGGGTTACATACTGTACGAGTCCAACTATCTGACAATCTGGAAAAGGCAAACAATGGAGACAGAAAGAATCAGCAGGGTTGTGGGGGAAGGGGAGGGATAAAAGATGGAACAGAGAATTGTAAGGGGGTGAAACTACTCTGCATCATAGTACAACGTGGATACGTGTCCTTATACATGTATCAAAACCCATGAAATGCCTCCCACCAAGAGTGAGCCCCAATGTAAACTACGGACTTTGGGTGGTAATGGGAGAGCCCGGGCATGTGTTGGGGGGCAGAGGGTATACGGGAAATTCTCTTTTTAAAAAAAAAAATTAACATTTATTTATTTTTGAGAGACAGAGGGAGACAGAGAATGAGCAGGGGAGGGGCAGAGAGAGAAGGAGACACAGAATCTGAAGCAGGCTCCAGGCTCTGAGCTGTCAGCACAGAGCCCGGCACGGGGCTCAAACTCACAAACTGCGAGATCATGACCTGAGCCAAAGTCGGACGCTTAACGGACTGAGCCACCCAGGCTCCCCGAAATCTCTCACTTTTGCTGTGAACGTAAAACCATTCTAAAAAATAAGGTGTATTAAAAAAATACAGGTCTTCTCCTAAATGTAACACAGCCGTTACTGACCCCTCATAATTCTTCCTCAAGTCTAAAAGACTGGGGATTTGTTTTAAAGTTCACATGTCAACCAGGAGATAGATGTGGAGCTTCCTCCTAATTCAACACGGAGGAGAAACACTTTCAGCCTTCTCGCTGTGAGTAGGCAGCTAGGGCATCTTTAGCAAAAGTCATCCGCCTGATCATTCAAAAGGACAGCATCACTAATCACCAGCTGTGGTGAAATGCGGCTCTGAACATGTCCCGTAGCTCTTGGCATTTCCTCCCCTTTCGCCCATGCTAAGTACGCTCAGTGAAGAGGTACAGCATCTCCAAAGTAGTTAAACGACACTACCCTTCGAAAATACCAACTCTCGAGAAGAATCAAATGTTCTGCTCAGGGTTTTAAGAGCCGATCTATTTCTGTTTGCTGCCTTTGTCGTTGGGACAAAACCTGATCCCCACCCCCTGCCCCATCTGGAACAAGAATCTTGCTTCTTGTTAGTTCCACCTCAGAGCCCCGGTGTTCCCCCAACAATAAAATGAGCATGAAAAAATGCCTCTTCTGCTCGGCTCACTTGTTCTGAGAAGCAAGAAGCCACGGTCTGTTGGAGCCTCCTCCCCTTGGGTCCCCTTCATAAATAAACACCGGTTTATCTACACGTCTCCAGGCTCTCCTGTATAAATGGGACCGCTTGAAAGAGGGGGCTGTGATTGCAGAGGAGCCCCTGGGGTGCTGATGGGGAAGACAGCAGCAGGGACCCCGGGCACCTACCACGTAAACAAGAGCCCCATCTGTCGGGTGGGCGGGAAGAATCGGCTCTCCACAAATCCCAGCTGGATGAAGTAACTCATCAGCAGTTCGACACCGGCCTCATCCCGGCTGGGCGTCCGGCAGGCCTGAAAGGAGAGGAGCCATGGATGGTGGCGGGGGCAGGTGAGGACACAGTCGATGCCTGCCTCCCCTTGCTCCCCCCCCCCCTTTCTGGAAGATGTCGCACATAACCACGTCTATGGAGCCCGGGACCCAGTGCTGCTATCGTGAGCGCTAGGAGTGGTGGCAAAGGGCTGGCATGAACTCAGGAGTCCCGGAATCCAGACCCAGACGTGCCAGTGGGCGTGTCTGTCCCCTCCTGTGGTCTTCTCGTGTGCCGGGTTGAACAGATGGCTCCCGGAGCACCTCCCTATCACCTCCAACCAGGAGCGATTCTCTAAGACTTTAAGGACATTCTGAAGACTCCAGTGGCCATCCTCCCCTCCCTGCTGCACGCAAAACTGTACCTGTCTCAGGTCCATCAGATCTGCTATTTCGTCTTCATAGAGGTAGCTGTCCTCACTGTAATGCTCCAGGATAAAATCCTGCAAGAGAAAGGAGATGAACCACTGTAAGGTGACATTCGAAACCATAAATAGGTATACAGGAATGTCTAATGTGCTCTCCCCCCCTTTAAAAATCCATGTAGAATTCATAACAACATGTATATTTAAAGTTCCTTTTGTCGCTTCAGTAAAAAAGAAAGTTGAAATTATTTTTATTTTAAAATGTCTTTGCAGGCGTGCCTGGTTGACTCAGTCGGTAGGGCATCCGACTCTTAATCCTGGGGTCACGAGTTTGAGCCCCACGTCGGGCATGGTGCCTACTGAACACAAACAAACAAACAACTAAAATGTCTTCGCAGGACAGTTAAGTGACCACATAAGTACTACACGTTGAACAATTCTGGCAAACGTCACAGATACTGCAGGGCTCAGATGTTCGGAGCACAGGGGCTTCCTGGCAAAGGAAACTCCTGGCGAGGCACTGTTATGAGGATGCTACCCTTGGGGTCTACGATGGGCGCCTTTGGGAGAGCAGTTTTGGGCATTCCACAAATGAAGCACCCGAAGGAGACCCCCTAACCCGGTCCACAGTCCAGCGTTTGATGACCGACCCGTGGGTTCATTCAGTCACACAACTCACACTGATGCGTACCCGCTACGTGCCAGGCACCGTCCATAGTGTCTGGGCTACATCAGCAAACAAAACAAAGACCTTTCCCCGTGGAGTTTATGTTCTCACAAGGGGGCACAGGCAATAAGTAACAGGCACCACAAACAAGTAAATGACATCATATATTAGAACATGGCAAGCATTACAGGGAAAAGATAAAAACGGGGTAAGGGGGAGGAGAGTGGCTTCTTGCATAACATCTGCCATGAGCGTTGGCTCTCCCTGGCTATAAAAAAAAGTTGAGTGACACCGGTCAGTTATGTTTTCTCAAGTGTCTGTGAGTACAGTCAATTTACACAATTTCTACATTAAAGCACCTCCTTTTTGTACGTTCAGTGCATATCCACACGCACACACACCCACACACCGTCTTACAAACGTGGGATTCTGTTGAGTGAATATACAAATTTGCTGTGCTTTTCTCTTTGAATTGGCAACGTGCCAAACGTCTTCATATACCACAAGATACTCTGCAACATGACTTCTTTTTTTTTTTTCTTAACGTTTATTTATTTTTGAGACAGAGAGAGACAGAGCATGAACAGGGGAGGGGCAGAGAGAGAGGGAGACACAGAATGTGAAACGGGCTCCAGGCTCTGAGCTGTCAGCACAGAGCCCG